CCCTCCATTGAGTGGCATGTGTGCACGGGCTCCTCCTCCTCCTTCTGATAAGCTGCAAGGGGCGAGATGAGCCACGCAGGAAACCTAACCGAAACTCCGAGCTCGAGGAGACGCTCCCGGGCCAGGGACATGATGCGCGCCATGACAAAGTTAAACACAAGGTCCCCGTACTGTTGCCCTGGTCCTGATCCCAAGAACGGAAACGCAACGTTCTTCCCGTCCTGGACGAAAAACCATGACTGATCGTATGCGTCAGACAAAAGAGCTCGGCTGTGTGCTGAAACTCCCGCCCCCTCGAGAGCGGTGACGTGCGTCTGAAGGTATTCCCACAACTCGTGCGCAGCCTCTGCTGGAAGACCGCGCTCCTTCAACAAAAGTCGTGCTAGCGATTCGTCATCGCCTGCAGTAGCAAAGACCATCTCGCGGACAACCTTGTAGAAGGCCTGGACTGCGTCGATAAAAATGAAGAGCACCGAGAGTTTGCGAGCCTCTGCTAGTTGCTGCGAGCCTCGAAGTTCCAGGGCTGAGAATTCGGTGCCTCTGCCCGCCAGTCCTCCGAACTGCCTATCTCCAGCAAGACGAGGGAGCGCTTGGACCACTCGGGCTCTCGTGATGGACCTGCGCCTTTTGCCTAACTGAGAAGAGCCCAGTATGGATCTGTAGTTGGTGGCCTGGGAGGGGGCGCCAGACTTGAATCCACCCCTTAGTATAAAAAAAAACAACTTCCCACTGGGTAGGTTCACAAACTCTGATCGTGCTTTTGACCACTAAAGGGTGATACACCGCGGCAAGAAGATGTGCGAATCTCTTGACAATAGCTCCTTTTATGCCGTCGGGCCCCGCAGCAGAATCCTTGGCCTGTAGCATAGCTTGCTGCCATCTAGCCAAAGATGGGACATCCTCGAGTGCGATGTCTAAGTTGTGCGTGATGGAGGGGTCCAGGGAGGGAAGTTGGGCAAAGAACCAATCCAGGTCCTGTCCAGGAACCAGTGCTGCAAATTCCTCCATCCCGAAGTGCTGTATCCACCTATTCGCGACATCGATGAACGACTTGATGGGCTGCCCATCAATGCCTGCAAGTAACGGCAACGGTGAAGCTGGACGCTTCTTGCGGGAGCATGCCCCCATGGCTCTCAACTTGCTGAACGCATCTTTAAAGTCGTGTCTTGCCCATGCTGAAGACACCTGGCTGGCCAGCTCGGAAGTGTACGCGCGTGCATCCATGCCGACTCCCCTGTCGACGAATACTGTATGCGTTTCCAAAGACATCTGCCTGGCAGCGAGGCAAATACCTGATATGCGTGCTCAGTAGTTCCAAAGAGCTGGGAGCCCTGTCGATACCTGATCAGGCCATCCTGGAAGGACCCACTTGAGCTCCTCTAAGCCATGCAAGGGGGGCCTCTGGGGATCCAAAAAGCTTCCGTGTTCTCTGACCCATGGTCTGAAAAAGGCAGTGCTCACGCGGTCCTCGATAGCGAACCTCGGCAACTTCTGAATTGGCAACTCCGGTAATTGATGTAAGCGCCACCAGAGCCCCAGTAGAGCCGGCCGTAAGAGAGTAGTTAATTGCTGTACCCTAGGAGCCCATCTTTTAGTAGGATACCCAGGGTTCCTGGAAGACGTCCTCCAAGTAGCCGTGAGGTGACAAAACCATGAGGCCCCAGCCGTGCCACTCGAGGTCTGAGCCCAAGCATGGAAAAAGCAGAGCTTTACGTAGCCGTGAACAGCGCATACCTGCCTGCCGAAAGCTCCGTAGTTGTATAGTGCGTTGGTCCATCATTTCCAGGGTGGCGTCTGTGATCCAGGGCTGCCTCGGAGTACGACCTCGTGCCGTGCTCCTGACTGGAAATGCTGTCTCGATGGCAGTGTGCACGTGCCTGTTGATAAACTCGCAATGCACTGACGGGGGGACAGTAGAAGGAATAGCTGGTGCGCCTCTCATCAGCTCCGCGAAGTGCTGCACTGCTTCAGCCTCTTGAAACTTGGCAGCGTCGCACTCGGGCTTATGCTGTCCGCTGGCGCTCCACAATACGTTGGACAGCGGCAGCGAGAGTGAGGCAGAGACGACTAGATGGTCCAGGATGGATATGGTGAGATCGAAGTCGGACACCGCGCGTTGGGAGGACACCTGGACCCCGAATGAACATGCAACGTAGTCGATTCTGCGCCCTGCCGAGAGCCCATGGGAGGCTTGGGGGAACCACGTAGCGGATGACGGTTGCCTGGATTCCAAGAAGGTAGACGGTAACCACAGTTCGGATTCCAAGAGAAACTCGTGAAAGAACTGCCCTGGGAGGTTCTGAACTTCTGCGGCAACTGAGCCTATGCAACGAGATGTGGACGATCCGACTCTGGCGTTTGCGTCACATAGGCAAACTACCTCGACGCCTGGTGTACATGTACACGGAATAGACGAGACAATTCCTGCCACCACTGCTAAAAACAATCAGGCTGCGCTTTGCTATGCGGTGCGTGGGCCACCATAATGTAAATTGCAAAGTGCTCCACTCGCACCGCCGCAAACAAATACCTTGGCTGTGCAGCAAGAACGCGTACATGCTTGGGCTGGCAGCGGACTCCTGGTATGACCTCAATGCCCGTGTGCACCCACAGAGAGCAACCGAATTTGCTTTGACCATCGCACTGAGCATGAACAACATGATAAAGGGGCAACTCGAGAGGTCCCAGTACGAGGAAATCTGGTCTCCACAGTACCAAGAAGAAGCCTTGTCTCCCAAATATCGTTCCAAGATGACGCATTCTCCCAGACATAAAAAAAGCCCAACAGGTTTGAACTTCTTAGCGATACGGTCTTTGTGGGGGTTCAGCGAGAGGACATACGTAATAACCTAAACAAGGCAGACGCCTTCTCCTGCGCAGATTCTTGAAAGTGCGGCAACTCAGCTCCTGGGGAGGGATACTGCGCTTGGACCTGACGGGACTCGAAGCGAAGCCACAGCCAGCTCAACTGGATGTCGTCGTCTAGACATACCCTCCCTGCCGTCAGGAGTAGGTATGTCACCTTTATTCATATATACCAAGGTACATATAGTTTCCGCAGCCTCGTTCCATGGTTCCCGCTGCGACCTGCAACGTGAGCCCAAGAGGTAGATCTGGTAAAGTACTGCACAACCTTAGCTAGACTGTCTAGTTCTGACCGAAGACGTCGGACAGAAGGGCTAAGGGCTCCACCATGGGCAACTCTGAGGACCTCTGAGCAATCGCAGAAGAGCGTGAGGTCCACCTCGTGGGTGAGGCTGGCGTAGGGGGACTGCAGGAACCAAGCGAGCGCCCACTGGGCACCTTGCAGCTCTGTGGCTAAAGCATGGAGGTGAGCAGGATGTTCACCTTCAAGAGCCCCTCCTCGAAACCCAAGAGAGCCTGGCGACCGTGGGAGTCCCCAGCGAGAACAACGAAGGCCCACGTGGGTCCCCCTTCTTTGCTGCCCCCAGAGCCGTCCGTGTATGTATGTATGCTGTTGACCTCGCTGCTGTCATCGATCGCGAGTAACCATGGCATGTGCTGCAACGTGGCTGAGTGCCAGTACTTTTCGAGACTCCAAAACATGTTATTGATAGGTCTGCTCCAAGACTGGAGTAGAATGGAGCTGATGGGGGTGGTGTCGGGAAGAGGGCTGAACTGGCATCCTCCGGACTGGTACGCTGTTACCCCGGATACGTCGTTGATGTTCACCTGACCCGTGGGGAGAGATTCGCCCCGAGCATTGCCCGAGCTCTCCCCTTGCCGAGCGGCGCGTCGGGGTCTCAGAAACTCCGCCCGTTCTCTCCGTTGTTGGTGACGGGCCGTTGCGGGTGATCGTCGTCCTCCATGGCCGTCTCGGCGAGGTCGCTGTCCGTCAGCGGGCCCTCCGCTGCTGCTGGCAGGCGCAAGGACTTGTCCGCTGGCATGGCGGCTCCTCCTGCGATGCTTGCCGTACCTCTGGCAAGGAGCTTCTGCTGGCCTGGAGCTGCAGCAGCTGCCTCGAGCCTGCGCGCCCCTGCCGATGGCGTTGACCTTCGACCTCCCTTGCCAATGTGCTGGGGCTTGCCCGACTCCTGCTGTGCTGCTGCTGCTGCTGCTGCCGCTGGTGCTGCTGCTGCTGCTGGGGCTGCACTCGCCTGCGCTGGCCATGGGCCATGGCGCTGGCGTCTGAGCGGCACCGTGAGCTGGCATTGGCGAAACTGATGAAGATGGGATCTGCAATGCCGCCTGAATGGTGGACATACTTGCAGCAAGGGCCATCAATCCTTGCTGCAACTGCACTTGATTGGCTTGTCACTGAGCCAATAACTGTGGTTGTGCATTCAGCTGCTGCTGCGATTCGAATGGGCTCTGAAACGGCGGCGTCGAGAAAGGAGGAGTGGCCGTGCCGTCGACTGCCTCGAAGGACAATGAGACTGATTTCTCTCTTTCCTTGGCAGCCTCCTCCTTCTCCTTGGCCTCCCTCGTTAGGATCTCGAAAGATACGAGTGCCTCCTGCGCCTGTGAGAGATCTGTGGCAATAGCTTCTCTTGCTTTCTGGGCCGTCTCTAACGCAATCTCCGCTTCTCTCTCGGACTGCTGGGCCTCCTCGAGGCGCTTGGTGGCCCTGGTGATGTAGTTCAGCTGATTGCTGACTCTCTCCTTGGGCGGGTATGCGTACACGTGCATGACATCCAGAATGCGATGCTCTTGCTTTGCTGCTGCAAGAATGGCTTGATCTGAGCCCATCGCTGCCTGCGCCTTGATTTGCTTCTCGACCGCCTGAATGGCGTCCTTGATGTGTGCTCTGTGGGTCTCCAATTCTGCTGCACTCGTCGGCGGTTCGACCCATAGCCTGTGAGACTGTGCTTCCTTGAGCGTGGCTACACCAGCAGGAAGGGACTGTGTAGCTGCTGAGGGAGCCGATGCTGATGCTGCTTCTGGCTCTGGGCGATCTGTGCGCATTCGCTCTGGTCCCCTGGAAACTGAACGCCCATTTCGTTTTTTGTATGGCTTGGCAGGGTAACATTCTAGGCACCATGCAGACGAAGCCAACTGCTCTGCACCACAACGTGAACAGTACCATGACGACTGTGATCTGGCCCATGGGGGCGCCATGCTGCTGTGGTGCTCTGCGAGGAACTGTCGCGCTGCGGCGACGCGTAGAAGAGATCGTGCTGCTGACCTGCGCTCTCTGGCACGACGGTGCCAGGCAGGTTCGGCCTTGCGGCGTCCTCTGGGCGCCGTGGCGTGCGCAGGCACGCCCAGGCACGGCCTGCCCGCTGCCGATCGCGGGGCGGCGAGTCTGGCCGACCGTCCCGAGGAGGCGCGCGGACTCAGGGCCCGCTCCCCACGCCTCGAACCGGGACGGCGGCTGGAGGGGGGAGGAGGGAGGAGGGAGGAGGGAGGAGGGAGGATGAGGAGATGAAGGACAAGGAGGAGGAGAAGGAGGAGGAGGGGAGAGGGAAGGCGTCAATTAGGAGGGGAGGGAGGGGGCTCCGAAATTCGCATGATGAGCCGGAACCCGTTGTTTCGATAAAAGCCGATAGGGTATCCGGAAGTACTATAGATGTGGATATATATATATATACACATTTACTTACATCTACATATACGTATGAGTATGCACATACCGATGCACATACAAACACATACACATATGCGTGCACCTATACGCAGACATAGGCATATGCACATACGTATACATTCACATGCACGTACACGTATACATATACATTACAGATCAACAAACGTACACATCTGCATACGCACATGCATAAACATGTACATGTACATGTCCATGTACACGCATGTGTACCTGCACATGTACATATCCATATACATATACATATGCCTATGCATATACATGTACATGTACAAATACATACACACATATATACACATATGTGTGTGGGTGGAAGCGTGTGAGAGTTTTATCCAGCGAGGGCGCGGTGAGAAGGGAGGGGCCAGGATGCGTGAGGGGAAAAGGAGACAGCATCGGGAGTGCGAAGGCATCCTTGGCGTGTTTGAGCAGGCGCAGGAAGCGGAGAAGAGAAGGAACGAGGAGGAGGAGGATGAAGAACAGGATGGGCAAGACGGGGAAGAGGAGGGGGAGGAGGAGGAGGAGAAGGAGGAGGAGGAGGAGGAGCAGGAGGAGGAGGAGGGGGGGAAGGAGGAGGAGGAGGAGGAGGACGAGATGAGGGGCTAGAGGATTGCCGCCCGGGCTCATGGGACTGGCGATTTGGATGGGGTTTCGTTTTCCTGGTTGTTACCCGGTTTCTTGCACGACCTGCATGTGCTGTGGAATCGTGTTTTGCATACCTGCTCGCCTAGTGCATCTTCCTTTTTGTCCGTCGACTTGCACTGCGCAGGTTACCCATCAACGCCAGGTGCAATTGAACTAAGCATGTCCCGCCTTCGTACTCGTGACGGTGCCGCCATCTCGCCGATGGAGGGATGAGTGTATGTATATGTGTTTTTAGATAATTGTGTGTGCATATATATATATATACACATAATACATATATATATATATATATATATCCCCGTGCACGACGCCCGGGCGCCCGGGGCGGCTGCCCCGAGGGAGCATGGGGGTACCAGGGGCTCTGGGGGTGATCCGAGACGGTTCAGGACAGCTCCTCAAGAGGCCTCAGGAGGCCTCCAAACAGGCCGAAGATGCCCAGAATCACCGAATTGTCGCTCCAAGACGCCGAAGATGGTCCGCAGACATCTTCCCAAACCGCCCAAGACGGCCCAAGAGGCATCCAAGAGGACTCCCAAGAGGGCCTGCAGAAGCAAAAATGGCCCCATTCCCTCCGGAAAAAGTACATTTTTATAATATTCGCCCAGAGGCCTCCAAGCTCGCGCCACGACGGCCGAAGAGGGTCCCAGAGGGCCCCAAGATCGCACCAGACGGCCAAAGAGAGTTCCAAGAGGGCCCCAAGACGGCTCAAGTGGGGTTCAGGAGTGACCTAGAGGCCCCCAAGACAGCCCAAGAAGGCCCCAGGACCGCTCCCAGAAAGGGCTCACAGGGGTACCCGACCTGACATTTCCAGCTTTCCTGCCCAAAGAGAGCCCTCGGAGACCCCAAGAAGGCCCCCCAAAGCATCCAGGATGCCCCAAGAGGCCCCCCACAGGCCCTCGAGAGGCTTCCAAGAGGCCCCCAGGAAGCCGAAGATGGTCCGCAGACAGCCCCCCAAACCGCCCAAGACGGCCCAAGAGGCATCCAAGAGGACTCCCAAGAGGGCCCACATAAGCAAAACTGGCCCCATTCCCGCCGGAAAACGTGCATTTGTAATATTCGCCCAGAGGCCTCCAAGACCGCGCCAAGACGGCCAAAGAGGGTCCCAGAGGGCCAAAAGATCGCACCAGACGGCCAAAGAGAGTTCCAAGAGGGCCCAAAGACGGCTCAAGTGGGGTTCAGGAGTGACCTAGAGGCCCCCAAGACAGCCCAAGAAGGCCCCAGGACCGCTCCCAGAAAGGGCTCACAGGGGTACCCGACCCGACATTTCCAGCCTTCCTCCCCAAAGAGAGCCCTAGGAGACCCCAAGAAGGCCCCCCAAAGCATCCAGGATGCCCCAAGAGGCCCCCCACAGGCCCCCAAGATGCCTCCAAGAGGCCCCCAGGCAGCCGAAGATGGTCCGCAGACAGCCCCCCAAACCGCCCAAGACGGCCCAAGAGGCATCCAAGAGGACTCTCAAGAGGGCCTGCAGAAGCAAAAATGGCCCCATTCCCTCCGGAAAACGTGCATTTTTATAATATTCGCCCAGAGGCCTCCAAGCTCGCGCCACGACGGCCAAAGAGGGTCCCCGAGGGCCCCAAGATCGCACCAGACGGCCAAAGAGAGTTCGAAGAGGGCCCCAAGACGGCTCAAGTGGGGTTCAGGAGTGATCCGCAGATAGCCCCCCAAACCGTCCAAGACGGCCCAAGAGGCATCCAAGAGGACTCTCAAGAGGGCCTGCAGAAGCAAAAATGGCCCCATTCCCTCCGGAAAACGTGCATTTTTATAATATTCGCCCAGAGGCCTCCAAGCTCGCGCCACGACGGCCAAAGAGGGTCCCCGAGGGCCCCAAGATCGCACCAGACGGCCAAAGAGAGTTCGAAGAGGGCCCCAATGACGGCTCAAGTGGGGTTCAGGAGTGACCTAGAGGCCCCCAAGACAGCCCAAGAAGGCCCCAGGACCGCTCCCAGAAAGGGCTCACAGGGGTACCCGACCTGACATTTCCAGCTTTCCTCCCAAAAAGAGCCCTCGGAGATCCCAAGAATGCCCCCCAAAGCATCCAGAATGCCCCAAGAGGCCCCCCACAGGCCCCCAAGAGGCTTCCAAGAGGCCCCCAGGCAGCCGAAGATGGTCCGCAGACAGCCCCCCAAACCGCCCAAGACGGCCCAAGAGGCATCCAAGAGGACTCCCAAGAGGGCCCACATAAGCAAAACTGGTCCCATTCCCTCCAGAAAACGTACATTTGTATAATATTCGCCCAGAGGCCTCCAAGACCGCGCCAAGACGGCCAATGAGGGTCCCAGAGGGCCAAAAGATCGCACCAGACGGCCAAAGAGAGTTCCAAGAGGGCCCAAAGACGGCTCAAGTGGTGACCTAGAGGCCCCCAAGACAGCCCAAGAAGGCCCCAGGACCGCTCCCAGAAAGGGCTCACAGGGGTACCCGACCTGACATTTCCAGCCTTCCTCCCCAAAGAGAGCCCTAGGAGACCCCAAGAAGGCCCCCCAAAGCATCCAGAATGCCCTAAGAGGCCCCCCACAGGCCCCCAAGATGCCTCCAAGAGGCCCCCAGGCAGCCGAAGATGGTCCGCAGACAGCCCCCCAAACCGCCCAAGACGGCCCAAGAGGCATCCAAGAGGACTCTCAAGAGGGCCTGCAGAAGCAAACATGGCCCCATTCCCTCCGGAAAACGTGCATTTTTATAATATTCGCCCAGAGGCCTCCAAGCTCGCGCCACGACGGCCAAAGAGGGTCCCCGAGGGCCCCAAGATCGCACCAGACGGCCAAAGAGAGTTCGAAGAGGGCCCCAAGACGGCTCAAGTGGGGTTCAGGAGTGATCCGCAGATAGCCCCCCAAACCGCCCAAGACGGCCCAAGAGGCATCCAAGAGGACTCCCAAGAGGGCCCGCAGAAGCAAAAATGGCCCCATTCCCTGCGGAAAACCTGCGTTTTTATAATATTCGCCCAGAGGCCTCCAAGCTCGCGCCACGACGGCCAAAGAGGGTCCCAGAGGGCCCCAAGATCGCACCAGACGGCCAAAGAGAGCTCGAAGAGGGCCCCAATGACGGCTCAAGTGGGGTTCAGGAGTGACCTAGAGGCCCCCAAGACAGCCCAAGAAGGCCCCAGGACCGCTCCCAGAAAGGGCTCACAGGGGTACCCGACCTGACATTTCCAGCCTTCCTCCCCAAAGAGAGCCCTAGGAGACCCCAAGAAGGCCCCCCAAAGCATCCAGAATGCCCTAAGAGGCCCCCCACAGGCCCCCAAGATGCCTCCAAGAGGCCCCCAGGCAGCCGAAGATGGTCCGCAGACAGCCCTCCAAACCGCCCAAGACGGCCCAAGAGGCATCCAAGAGGATTCTCAAGAGGGCCCGCAGAAGCAAAACTGGCCCCAAGACCCAAAAATGGCCCCAATCCCTTCGGAAAGCGTATATTTTTTAAAGATTCGCCTCTTGAGCTTCCAGGGCATCCAAGACGGCCCGAGAGGCCCCCAAGATCTTCCCCAGACGGCCCAAGAGGGCTCCAAGACAGCCCAAAAGGACCCCAGGCGAGCCCAAGAGGTCCCCAAGACGGCCCAAGAGGGCCCCAGGACGGCCCCAAGAAGGGGCCCAGAGGGGGGACCGAAACGGACATTTCAAGCTCTCCGCCCCTAGAGGTCCCCAGGAAGCCCCAAGAGAGGCCCCCCAAACGCCCCCAAGATGCTCCCAAAAGGCCCCCAAGAATTCCCAAGAGGTTCCCAGGAATCCCCAAGAGGCCCCCAAGAGCCCCCTCCCCAGACGCCCTGAGGTACTCTTTTCGCTCCCAAAGCTTCCGGACAACTCTCGGCTTCCTGAGGCCCGTCACGGGCCCCGGGACCGTCAAACATTTACGACGAAACTCCGGGTCTATGGAAGTTGTCGGGACCCCGTGGACACTTCAGGAACTCCCCATTGAACGAGTCACTACGTGGACGTCGTCGTCGTCGTCGGCGGTCGTCATCGTCGTGGTGGTGGCGGTCGTCGTCGTCGTGATCGTCGTCGTCGTCATCGTCATCGTCGCCTTCGTCGTCACTCGTCGCCGCCCCCGTCGTCTGCGTCGTCGTCGATAACCACATGAGCGAAAACGAGAGCAGCAAGACGTGGCGCAGCCGTGACTAGAACCTAAGCGCGCGCGAAGCTCGCGTGGTTCTAGTATATATATATATATATGTATATATGTACGTATGTGTGTGTGTGTTTGTGGCGTCCACCGCCCTGTAGACTTCGCGGTCCTCCCCGTAAGTCCGTATTCGCCGCGCCGTATTTGTCGACCCCTCGAGTTCCGTCACTGGGCTTGTCGGCGCGCCCTTGTGCGCTATTTCGCTGTCCTCTTTCTCGTGGTCGTTCTCCTTGAGGTGAGCTTCCTCGACGGGCTACGTGGGTCCCAGTCCGCTTCTGTGGTCCCAGCGGTTCTTCTGGGCGCTTCACCGAGTGCCGCCACCTCGTCGTTGCGCGCGTGGCCGCGACGCCAAACACATTTGCTTATGGTTGTGTGTGCGTGTGCGTGTGTGCGCGCGTGTGTATGTGAGCGTGCGTGCTTGCGTGCGTGCGTGCGTGGTTGCGTGCGTGTGCATGTGTGCGTGTGTGCGCGTGTGTGTGTGTGTGTGTGTGTGTGTGTCCGGGTGTCTGTGTGCGTGTGCATGTGTGCGTGTGCGTGTGCGTGTGCGTGTGCGTGTGCGTGCGCGTGTACGTGTGCGTGTGTGTGTGTGTGTGTGTGTGTGTGCGTGTGTGTGTGCGTGTGTGTGTGTGTGTGTGTGTGTGTGTGTGTGTGCGTGTGCGTGCATGTGTGTGTATGTGGCGTGTCCCTCCCTGCTATTTACGCCCCGGTGTGCTTTATGGCGCCCTTTCTGCTTCCAACGCTCAGGCACGTCGGGCAGGGCCCTTCTGGCCGGCGTGTCACCGCGCTGCTTTCCACGCCCGGATATGCTGTATGACGGTAAGTGCAGCGATATCCTAAGCGAGCGATTCTAAGGGCCTGGCCGCGGCTCCGCGATCCGTTCTTGCCCGGCGTCCACCTCGTCGTTGCGCGCGGGGCCGCTACCGCCAAGCATTGTGCGTGTGTGTTGCCAGCGTGTGCGTCCGTATCCTTGTCAGTGTTTAGGTGTTCGTGTGAAAACGAAGCATGCGTATGCGTGCGCGTGTGATCATAGCTATCCAACAAGACTGGCACGTGAATTCTCTCTGTTGGATACGTGCGAATGTGTGCGTGCGTGTGCGTGTGTGTATGTGTGTGCGTTCGATGGTTATTCTTTCATCACCGGCTGGATGAGCGTTGAGTGGCACGCGAACGCGAGGCAGCGTGCCTGCGTGTGCATGATGGCGGGGCGTATGTGTGTGTGTGTGTGTGTGTGTGTGCGTGCGTGCGTGCGTGCGTGCGTGCGTGTGTGTGTGTGTTTCCACGCCCTGTCGCTGCGCGCGGGGCTGCGACGCCAAGCAATGTGCGTGTGTGTGTGTGTGTTTGTGCGTATGCAGGTGCATCCGTGTGTGCGTGTGTGTGTGTGTGAATGAGAGAGCGGGCCGTCCCGTCGCACTTCTCTTAGTTATCTTCGTTACTTTGTCTTGCCTGCTCCGCCGCGTTGCTACGCGCGTGACCGCGACGCCAAACAGTGCGTGTCCATGTGGGTGCGTGTCCTCTGCCATCCACGCCCGGATTTCTTATGGACGAGATCCAAGGCGGTCTGTGAGGGCTCGGGCTCTCCTGTTTCCCGCGCGCGCATCTGTTTTGGAGCCTTCTCCGCCCTGTCGCTGCGCGCAGGACCGCGACACCAAAATCTCTGTGTGTGTGCGTGTTTGTGTGTGTGTGTGTGAATGTATGTGTGTGCGCGTGTGTGTCTGTGTGCGTGTGCATGTGTGTGTGTGTGTGCCTGTGTGTGTGTGTGAGTTTGTTTGTGTGTGCGTGCAGCCTGGCTCGAGCCACGCGATGTGCGCTGGGCCCTGCGCGTGCCGCGGCGGCTCGTGGCACGCGCTCCGGAGCCCGCTGGTTCCGCTCCTGGCGGCGGCCGCCGCCACCGCCGCGGGCACCTCCGAGGCCGAGCGCCTTCTGGCCGAGCTGGCCGAGCTGGAGCGCACAGCCGCCCGACAGGGCGCCAGGATCGCCAGGCTGCAAGAGGAGGCCAGCGCCGTTGCGGAAGTGATCGGCTCTGGCGCGAGGCAGATCGAGGATCTCATCGCGCGCCAGGATGAGGCCTGCGCCAGGGAGATCGAGGCGCTGGGGCACGAGCTGGCGCCCTTCAGGGCGCCGCATTTCCAGGCCTCCCTGCGGGAGCGCCGGCTGCGCCAGAGGGCGGCCCGGGAGGCCCGCCGCCGCGGCGAGCTGCTGCTGCGGCAGGCCCGCGGCAACGCGACGGAGTGGCTCGACTTTGCGACCATGGCTGCCGTCGAAGGGCTCAGGGCCGCGTGTTCCGAGGTCATCCAGACGGCCGAGGCCACAGCCGCCCAGCTGCACGTGGAGGTGGCGCCCGCTGCCGCAGAGGTGCTGGCGGCGATCGAATCGTTCAAGGGCGCCGCAGTGCGCGAGGAGAAGTGCCAGGTGCAGCACCTTGGATGGCTGAGGGCAAACCTGCCGAAGCCCGTCGCCGTCAAGAAGAGATGCGCCAACCGAGACCTGTACACAGCCTGGGCAGGCTGCGACCAGGGCTGGAGCGGCGTGACCTTCGAGAAGTGCATGTCGCTCTGTGCCACAAACGCCCTGCCTCGCGGTTGCCACGGCGTGCCACCGGATGCTACTTGCGCCTTCGCCGTCTGGTTCTCGTCCTCCGGCCTGTGCCACTTGGCGAAGGCGTGCGTGCTGGAGGACTCCCACCCCGACGCAGAAGTGTGGGCCGCGGGCGGCCAGCTGGCAGCACAGGCCGAGTGCCCCTGGGCTGGCGCCCGGGGCGGCTGGTGGCACGGTGGGAGGCCGCTGGCCAGCGCGGAGGTGCTGAACGTCAGCGACCCCTCTGCGTGCCGGGAGGCGTGCTGCATCGACCACCCTGGGTGCGAGGCCTTCACCTGGTGGCGCGCGAGCGGGGCTTGCCACCTGCACCAGAGCGTGCGTGGGGCGACCTGGATCCAGGACCTCGAGTGCACCAGCGACGTCAAGCTGAGCAAGCTCGCCGACCTGCCGGCGCAGCCCTTTGCGGATGTGAGGCCGATGTTTGCGCTGACCGAGCCCGTCGGAGACGAGTGCCCCATCAACCTGGCCCACCGTGGCTTTGATGGTCACCTCGGCGGCGCATTCTCGTTCATGTGCACCGTGAGGATGGACCACCGGAGCTCGTGGACGGAAAAAACAACCGTATCCACAGTCTCGAGGCGGGACCTTGGGCCGCGGCTTCGTGGGTTCTGGGCATGTTTTCGCAGATGCCCCCGCGCTGAGCGTATCCATGCGACCGCCTACCCACGGTATAACGCCCTGGAATTCAGACCGCGACGGCGTGGATATGCTAATGGTTTGACGAACCAACAACGCACACCCATGCCCATAGGGGGGTCGGAGAGGGCTATGGGTGCGTGCTGTCGGATGGGGGTCCCCGCTAGAACGGGAGCGTTCCCCAGGGTCCGACAACCCGCACCCATACCTGTAGCCAGTCCTCCTCCCAACGACCCCCCCATGGGTATGGGTGTGTGTTGTTCGTTCGTCATATGTTTGCCGCTCGTGAGGAACGCGTGGTCGCGAATATTCGACTTCTCTGTGGCCCCCGACACTCAGAGCATCTCCGCCGGAAGCGTGGACGATAGCCTCGACCTGCACTTCACGGTCTACCGCGCGTGGTCGAGGCTGAGCACGGTTGTCGTGCCGGACTTCTTCGAGCTCGGCAAGGACCCGAGGCGGGGATTGTTCCAGAACCACCACCCGGGGGATCGATCTTCGGGGACCTCGGCAGGCAGTGGGTATGGATATATTCCAGGCGATCGCAAACATGGATCAAGGGGGCGTGGATTAGCGACGGGTCCCGTTTCCATGGGGAATCGCGGATTTCCGCAGCCGAACGACCGAACGAGGCGGCACCGTCCGCATTTTGGGGAGGGCACCTCCCCCGATCCGTGGATTTGGCGACCGCGCGCCAAATCTATTGATAGCTAATCCATGCTTGCGCGCCCCCGAATATTTGAGCCCCTGGGGCGCCCCACTGAACATCCATATCCCCGCCCCCTGGGGTACCAGGACCTGCCTGTCCCAGGCGGCGGGGGACGTGGACACATCCCCGCCTCGCACAGAGGAGACCACCGTGCTCTTTGCGGTGTCGGGGGCCGGGCGCCTCTCGGTCTTCAGGGACGGGCTCCTCGTCGGCCGGGAGGACGGCCACACGCCGCGCTGGACGTTCCGGCCGCACTTGATCGTCGGCGGGCAGTCCGGCGGGCACCGCACATAGCTGCTCTGCTATATGCACGTTTTGAAGCGTGACACGTGCTGCGTTCAAAACGTCCGTGTACAAAACGTGCATACGTCTTCAGTCTACGTGTTGAGCCCCGTATCAATACGCTACGTGTTGCGTGTTGCGCATCGGGGCAGCCAAGGCACCACAACTACACCGGCCAGGGCTTCCGCGGCACCATCCGTGGCATCAGGCCAGGGGGCTCCCTGGCTGCGCCCGCCGGGCTCTCCTTCCGTTCGGGCCTCGGACGCCGTGGGCCCGTCAAGGAAGTGGCTTCAGCCAAGGGGCCCTGTCTGGAGGGACTCGATGTATACGCCATGTCGTTTGGTGGGGCAGGGAGCCAAGGAGCTCGACGATGGAACTCGGTGTATATACGATCCAGCGTCCCAAAGATTGGGAAGCTGGGGCATCTGTACACCGAGCTAGCTCCTTGGCCGACCAGGAAACTGGGTGTGTACTCCGAGCCCCTCCCAGTCCTGGAGAAAACGGGTCCTGGGCCCCATTGCGTTCCCCTGGACCCCAGCTATTCAAGTGGCTAAAGCCATTTCGCCGATCCCCAGAAGGAATGAGAGCATGCTACGATCGTGGAAGTGACCTAGTGGGTCAGGAGCCTCTTGGATACATATGAGGGGCTCTCGGAATGCTTCTCAGGGGCATCTTGACGGGCTCTTTGTAGCATCTGGGGGGCTTCAGGGTGTTCTTGGGGGCCTCTTGGGGGCCTCTTGGGAGCCTCTTGGCGCCTCTGGGGGGCGCCTCTGGGGTCTCTAGGGGGGCCCTTGGGGCCATCTTCGGGGGAAAGGCTCGAAATGGCAGTTCGTATTCTCCCTTCTGAGACTCTCTAAGGGCTCTCTTGGGCCCTCTTGGGGGCCCCTGGGGCCGTCTTGGGGCCCTCTTGGGCCGTCTTGGGGCCCTCTTGGGGGCCGCCTCCCTGGCCGTCTTGGAGCGATCTTGGAAGCCTCTTGGGCCGTCTTTGACGGAAAAAACGAGTATGCTAAAAGTACACGTCTTCCCAATAGGAACGAAGCGATGTTTGCGTCTTTGCGCCCTCTCGGCGATACTCGTGGGGCACTCTTGGGCCGTCTTGGGCGCCTCGTGGGCCTTTTCGAAGCCATCTTGGATTGTCGCAGAGCTACCTTGGGCCATCTCGACGCTTTCTTGACCTGTCTTGGCGCTCTCTTTGGGCCCTCTTGGGCAGTCTTGGGGCTCCAGAGAGGCTCCGGAGGCATCGGAGATGCGTTTAGGAGCTCCAACCCCACTCCCCTCCCCTCGGCCTCCCACTCCTTCTGTCGGACCGTGACCCTGGGGGAGGGGGAAGGGGGAGGGGGACAACCAAATATTTCACTCGCTAATTCACCCCGGGCAAGCGGGGGTCGGCGGATTCATCCTTGCTCGCTTTTGTTGAGAATGGCGAACAGGCTCCAGCGCCCCTCTCCTCCCGGACCCGGTTCCCTCGTGCTGGTCCCATGAGAGTTTTTTATTTTCCCGGCGATGACAGGCGTTACCCTGGGGGGGAGGGGGGGGCGAGGCGGCCGGTAACGTCACGATTCGCGCCAGCGCCGTTCCCAAACAGCGACGGCGCGAACCGTGACGTTACCAGGTGGGGGGGGGAAACATTTTTTGTAACGGCCGTTATCGCGGATCCCCAAAACGCGCCCTATCCGAATCCGTACGCTCGTGTGCTCGATTCCAGCGTCCGCGGGCCGCTTCTGTTCGGGGGCGGCGCCCGGGACAGTGGGACCAGCCGCGGCGAAGCGCGGTTTGGTTCATAACGAAAGGGGGGCTGCGCCTTGAGGCGATCACGACGCCAGAGGTCCGGGCCCGACGGGGACGAGGGATGACGAGGAGAGAGGAGGGAGAGGAGGAGGGAGGAGAGAGGAGTGAGGAGGGAGGAGGAGGGAGAGGAGGGGAACTTGGGAGGAGGAGGAGGAGGAGGAGGAGGAGGAGGAGGAGGAGGAGGAGGAGAGGAGAGGAGGAGGAGGGAGGAGGAGGGAGGAGAGGAGGGAGGGGAGGAGGGGAGGAGGAGGGAGGAGGGAGGAGGAGGGAGAGGAGAGGAGAGGAGGGGAAGGAGAGTGACCCGGCGGGTGTAACTTGGGCCCCCCAGCCAGGGTCTGGGCCCAGGAGGTCACCTGGCCCAGCCGTGGCGCCGCCGGCTCCCTCCTGGCGATCAGCCGGCTCGACGACGAGCACTACTGCGCCGTGGTCCGCGCTGAGCGCGTGGGCATTGACCAGGCGGGGCCCCCCCCCCTAAGGCGCAGCGCCCTCCTCCTCCTCCTCCTCCTCCTCCTCCTCCTCCTCCTCCGTCTCCTCCTCCTCCTCCTCCTCTTCCTCCTCCTCCTCGCTGGCCGGCCCTTCCTCCTCCTCCACGCGGAGCGTGCCCGCTTCACCAATTTCGGGGCGGCGCGCCCCCGCCAGCTCCGCAGGCGGGCCCCGCCCGCTTTCTCTCTGTTGTGCTGCTGCCGGGAGGACGACGGGAGCCCGTCGCCTCGGCCTCGGCGCCGTTCCTCTGGGCCCGTGTGCTCCTAGCCAGCCGGCCCGTGGCGGCGCGGCCGGCCAGCGATGGCGACCGGCTGCGGGCACGTGCCGTGGCGGCTGCCGCAGTGCGGCGGCCTGCCGCTGTGCTCTGCGAGGGCTCGGGGCCGCGTGTGCTGCGCCTCGCCGAACATCCTGCCCTGGCCCCGAGCGGGCGGCGCGCGCCGCGGGCAGCGGCGCCCTTCGGGCTTCTGCCCGAGCGTCATGGTGAACGGCACGGGTCCCAGACCCCCTCTAGTCATGAGCAAGAATCACGACGGGAGGTCTTTCTCGTATTTTCGGCCAAGGTGGGCCCTCGACGGGCCTCGGGGCCATCAAAAACGACTCCGGATGAAAAACCGGTCCTGGGGACTGGGTCGAGGTTTCTGGGGGTCGACGCTATGAAAAGTCATGACGTCGGGGGTCTAGGTTCTGCTCGATCATCACGGTGAACGTCACGGGAATGGTTTCGTTGTGCGCGAGCTGGAGCACGGGGGGGTGGACGCCGACGTGATGGCCAATCAGGAGCACCGCCCGGACGATCCGAATTGCATGCTCGCGAAGCGGGCGGCGTGAGGCTTTGGCTGGAAGGCCGACTTTGTCCCAGCACGCCGCACGGCAGCGGGCGGCACCACAGGCGGTGTGGCCATCGTGGTGAAATCCTGGATGGGGCTACGCCGCGCCGAGCTCCCGAACGAGTGGGTCAAGATGCCGCTCACGGAGCGCATGGCCTTCTGGCATGTCGTTTCAGGCCCGCCGGCGGGATTCGTGCTCGGGCCCCTCTACTTACGCACGGGTGGCGGCATGTGCGAACAAGCACGCTTTCTCGGGCCTCGATCTTCGACCCTCGGACCTCGATCCTCGGACCTCGCCGCCGTCGATCCTCGGATCTCGATCCTCGACTCTGGGATCTCGATCCTCGATCCTTGGACTTCGATTCTCGATCCTCGATCCTCGGCTTTCGGTCCTCTTAACATCATCTCTTTCTCCTCCCACATTCTGGCCTCTGGTAGGCAACATTTATAATCCCCCCGCGACCCCGAACTTTATTATCCCTGTGGGATCAAGCTCCGTGGGACATGGTTATCTCGACAGGCTCTTCGAAGTGGGCGCGGCCGCGCGGGCAGTGCGCGAGGCCTTTCATCCTCGCTGGGGATTTCCTGTTCGAGCCGCGCTGCTTCGACCAGACCCGGAAGTTGTCCGCGGCGAAGGTGGCCGTCGTGTCTTCTGGGCGGCCTACATGTTTCGGAGCAGCCTCTGCCAGTGATTCGGATTGTTTCGTGACTTCATATGGCTTCTCAGCGACCGCGGTCATGGTAGTGGAGGACATCACAGTTCGGCCTCGCCTGGCCGTGCACCTGGCCTTCCAGGCCGCCGCGGCTGACGAGCGCGTGTCGGCGCTGCGCAAGGCCCGGGCGTTCCCGTCGCAGACCGGAGCCCGGAGCCGTTGGATTGGACAGTGCTCCCGGGGGAGGCCGAGAGCATCGATAGCACCGCTGGTCGCCGCTGGCCTGGTCGTCAGTTGGGGGATCTTAAGGCCCTCTTGAAGACCTTTTTGGGGCTCTCTTGCGGCCGGGACCGCCGCGACCCTTAGAGTTCGATGTTGTGGCGCCGCGCTTTGTGCATGAATGCGAATGCAATGCGGCAGGCTTGCGCCGTCGTGCGCGGGTCGCGGCCATGTTCTCTCGCGTGTGCGACAAAATAGATACGCACCAAAACAGCGCATGGTGTGTCCGCGTTGCATGCGGTGCGACATCTGCGTCAACACGAGAACCATGATTCTGGAAGGGTTGTGGTGTCAGAGTTGAATTCGCGTGTCGCCCAACGCATGTCGGCGCGTTTCAGTTGAGACTTTCGGGATGAGCTCTCTGTTTTTTGTCCAACGGTTTGTCTGTGGACCTTGTCCTGTAGGCATTGAGGAGGTGGCTCATCTCCGTCATGCTCCCGATGGCTCACCGGATAGCTCAATGGATAGTCCCCCCTCCTTCTCATTTTTTATTGTCCTCTTTTCCTTCTCTTCCTCCTGCTCCTCGATCCTCCCCCCCTGTTCCTGCTGCTCCTCCTGCTGCCCCTCCCCCTCCTCTTCACCAGACGCCCGACGTCATGATCTTTTCATAACGTCGACCCCAGGAGACCTCGACCCATTCCCCTGGACCGGCTTTTCATCCTGCGCCGTTGCCTCTATTGTCCCAGGCCTGGCAGGGGCCCCCAGAGGCCAACAATAGCGGAAAAGCCTCTGGTCATGATACTCTCATGGCCCGAGGGAGTCTGGGTCCGCCTCCTCTCTCATGTCTTCCTCCTACTCCTCCTCCTCCTCCTCCTCCTCCTCCTCCTCCTCCTCCTCCTATTGCGCCGTGGGCCTTGCCGAGCGCTCGAGTGGCGACCAGGTGGGGCGGTTCCCCGCGGGGGGGGGGGGGAAGCTTCTCCCTCGAGCATCGAGGCCTCGAGGCGCTCGGCACCTCGCCCATGGGGCGGAGAGGCCCCGCGGGCAAGCGCGGCGAGGGCGGCGCCCGCGGGGGGGAAGAGGGCCAACTCCCCGGGCCCCCTTCGGGTCGGGAACAGAAGTCATGACGGGCGGCGTTTCGCTGCTGTTTCCCTCAGGTGGGGCGGCAGCATCGTGGGAATCGGCAGTGAGATCTTGGTGCCCGAACACAGGGTAGCACCGCAATTTGACATCGCGGTGCCATGTTTCACCTTGCTCGCGCGCCGTCTGGCGCTAGGCTTCTCGCTCGCTCGCTCGGCCTCTGGGGCCCCTCACGGGTCTCGGGGCCGTCAAAAAACGATTCAGGATGGGAATTGGTCCAGGGGAGCGTGTCGAGATTTCTGGGGGTCGACTTTATGAACAAACCATGACGTCGGGGGTCTGGATCGGAGGGCGCCAACCAGAGCAGACACCTACATACACCGATGCTGGCCAGGCCCTACCTGAGCCCAGGATTGGCC